GATTGTTATTTGCGAGGCAACTGCTGGGGAGCGTCAGCCAAGCTCACCCACCAGCGAACTCCCAGCCCAGCTCCAGCGAGCGAGAACACAAAGCTGAGCCCACGCACACACGCCACGTTGAGCAACTAAACAAGAGGCACGGGAGCGCCCAAAGGCAGCCGCAAACACGCTATCGTCACGTTCCGAGGCTCTCGAGAAGAACTGCTGCAACAGCAGCATGCGGGCTTAGGTAACATCTTCTAATACTCACTTCGCAAATCTTTTCCAACGAAGGGACAAAGAAATCATCGCAGACGATCGCCAAAGCATAAAACATATACACGGCCTGCAAAAGAAAAGAGAAAATGCTGAGTCTGGAGATTGTCAAGCAGTCCCAACTCATCTTAGGTTTGGTTTGGCATATACTTTCTAAAAAAATAAAGTGCTCTTGCAGGAAGAATTCACGGGGCATTATGGGATTTAACAGAAAGATCATGAAGTATTTCTCCAACAGTTCTTACAAGCTATCAAAAGCTGTCAACATTTTATCATCATCATAAAGATTTTTATTTTTTTTTAATTCTCTGGATATTACTAAGCCACACTTAAACATTTTTGCCTTCCTTTTCTTCCCCCCCCCCGTTGCCCAGCGCAAGGCTTTTTTATGACTGCATTCTGTCAAAATCTACCCCTAGAGGAGTAATTTTGGGATGCTAGTTCCGGAAAAGGGGAAAGCTGGTTTCTGTGACTGAAGTGCCCCGCCACGTCACCTGGGATCCCAGCGATCATTCTTGCTAAGCTCCACAGAGGAACAGTTTCCAAATTACTGAAACCCAAGGGGAAACACAGGGCTTGAAAGGACACCTAGGGCATCAACTCTTCAGTTTCATGCAAGAAGCGTTTAATCTGCATCTCTGTATTACGAAACAGAAAGCCATTTCTGTGTTATCAAACAACATGCCAGAGCCTGATCTCTGCCCCAGCAGGCAAACGGCACAGCGCGGCTTACGTCCCCGCAGCTAAGCTCGCGTCCTCCCCAGCGGGGGCACCCTGTCCCTGCTGCCCAGCGGGAAGGATCTCTGTCCCCTGCCTCGACTCGCATCCTGGCCCTGGGTAGGAAAGCGCTTGCTGGCACAGGGGAAAGCCAGGCGAAAAGCGTGCCAGCTCCCTAACGGAGCGCACCGTCACCACCAGGCTTGTGCCCGTCTCCCGGCCCCCTCTAGTTTACTGGCACAGACATATCCGAGGCCACCCCAGCTACTCTTGTACCACCTTACACAAACTTAGACCTGTAGCAAAGGAGCAGAGCCAGCAATATGGGGACCCAGAGGGACAAGGGCACCGCCCAAGCAGGGTGGCCCTGCCCGTGCCGCCCAGAGGACACGCTGCGGAGAGGAGAGCCGCCCCGGCGTGCCGTAGTGGAGTTTTAAAGCCCAGCGTCCCGTGCAGTGGGGGAAGCAGAGGAGCGGACAACTGCACCCTCTGAAGTCGCGCGAGCCAGGCCAGCGCTCATCCCTCAGCGCCGGGCGTGCAGCAGAGCTGTTAGAGCTGCTGTCCCCAGGGGAACTGGAAAACAACCTGCCTGCAAGCGCTACCAGAAACCTGCCCCTGAGACAGTCTACGCTACCACCCTGGATCCTGGTCCTCACGAACCGCGGTGTCAGCAGAGGTTTATTTATTGCTACATACTTGTGAAAGCATGCACGCGCAAGAGAGTTCCTTAAATTTTGGGCATGTGAGCAGAGAGGCGAGGCTCAGGGCATAAGCCTGGAGCAAACCGCACCGCAATAGCTGTGCACAAACCAGCTGCGTCCAAAAAGAGGGGACGCGAAAGGCTGCGTATGGTGAGGCAGGAGAGAGGAACACCTGAGCTCTCCCGCTCCAAATCCCCCTCCGGCTGCTCGCTGGCCGCTTCTGGCAGAGGTAAGACCCTGCAAAGGGCTGCACCCCGTGCTCAGGCCAGCAGGCTCGCTGCTCCCATGTGCCAGAAATAACGATGTGCTGCCCCGTCACCATGCAGCACACGGCCACCGCGGGCAGAGACACACACGGCGCTCCAGAGCAGCGCGCCGCGTTCGGCTCAGCAGCAAACCAAGCGTCGCCGCCAGGTGGGCATGGTGCACAGCACTGCAGTCCCGCGGCGGCATCTCTGTTCCCCCGAGTTACACCCCTTGTCTGACTTCATCACACAAACCCCCTCACGCTGGAAGCATACGTCGCGATATTTTGCTGGGTTTTCAGTGCATGCAGGGTTTTTTTCTTTATTTTTTTAAGGTAAAGTTTCTCACTGTAGCACTAAGCTGTTCTGTGCCTGAAAGCAAACAGCCCCAGAAAGACGCAATTCTGGCGTCTGGTCCAGTGGAGCAAGTCAGCAGGCAGCAATCACTTTCTTTTCCCCAGGATCGCTCCCAGGCATGACATCATGATTCGACTTCCCACCCCCAAAGCGAGACAGAACTACTCTGGAGTTCAGGGACGGCTCCATCCTTCTGTAACGCCCGCCACATGCCACTGCAGCTTTGTTTTTACAAGCAGCACAGCTCCAGTGACCGGCCAGAGCTGGGAGCGGTGGCCAGTATTTGCAGAAAAAGAGCACCCTAACCCTGGCGAAGCGCAGTGCTGCTACCTGGTCACCGACAGACCCTCCCGCTTTGCTGGTCTGTAAAGTTACTGCTGGAGCTTGCGCGATGGGAGGACACCAGACAGGTTTTTCTGGAGGGAAAGCAGCCATGAAAATGGCCTCTGGGTTTTTGTTTTCATTTTCACTGTTTTCATTTTCCAGGAACAGGTTTAAATCCCCCAACCTCCCCCAAGCTCCCAATTCTAACTCGCCAGGATTTAATTACAACTTTGCTGCAAAAAGCCAGTAATTTCTGTGAAAATCTCAGCCATGAAAACTTTTCAAGCTCAAAAATAATTCAAGTTGGGTTTTTTTTTTTCCCCAGGATTAGAGAAGGGAATTGAATCATAACGGATGAGTTTGACTCCATCTGAAGCGTCAGTGCTCGAATGAAGTTTCTGTGCTTCTCTGTCACTACTCGTAAACATAAATAAATGCAGCTTACACTTCATGAAAAACTCTTACACCACAAAACGGCCCAGAACCACGAACACAAGCAAAATTCCAGGTCTACAACTCTGCCAGGTGCAGCAGAGCCCCTGGTCTTGCAGGGGCGCGCAAGCTGCCGACGCAATACCAACAGGTACCTGCACGAACGGAGAGAGGGCGCAAAGGGCTGACGGCCCCGGTGCATTGCAGGGAGAAGGATCAGAACAGCCCCGGAGAGCTACGTGGCCAAATCCCAGGGAAATGCCATGGATAGCGGGTGCCCAACTTCAGCCTAGATTTTCTGATCTGCTAATCATATTAATCTGCAGTGGTTCGTGCCACCATTTCCCTTCCCAAATACACAATAATGCCATTCAAGAACACTAATCTGTATATCATCATCCCTGCAAATTGAGGGCATTCTCTGTATTTGACATAATCTACAGTCACCGAGCGCAGGGCATCCGACGGCTGCTCGGGCTTCCTGCAATCTGCTGCCGTTGTGGCAGCCAAGCTCTCCCGAAGGGGGGCAAGGCAACGGGGACGGAGAGAAGACAGCAAACCAAAAAAGCAGAGACTCTAGAAGCCAAACCAGGTCATTTCAGCATCTGCCTCCACACATGTGCAGTCTTTGCCTCCTGTACATTCTCACCGTTTTTTCAGATCATGTGAAGCTCCTGCATCGTATGCCGTGCTCACCAGGAACACGGCCACTCTGGATGGACGGACGTCAGGTGCAAGGCGTCCATCAGTTCAAGTCCAGGAAAATCCTTCCCAGAGTTTTTAAGCGAGCATTCAAACGATGCGAGGGGGGAGCGTGCGCCGTCTCCAGCGCAAACAACGGCAAGGCACGTCCGTGTCCCGGTAACTACGGGCACGTCCAAAAGCTGCGTTTCACTGCATTCTGGTTTTGAGAGGGCACAGTCACAACCCAAAAAGGTGACAAATTTTCTTTTGTCCACCCACGCTCAGGTGTTTGTAGGATCAGGCACGAGAGAAAAGGCAAAAAGGGGATGGAAAGGAGCAAGGAGCAGAGAAGCGAACGTGAAGAAGGTGCTGTCGCACTTTCTCTGATCCCCGTGGAGGTGGCGGGGATCGCCGTGCTGCGGCGCCGGCTGAAAGCCCACAGCCAGAGCCTGCTGGAGTCAGTACGATCACCGCGGGCAACTTCAGCACATCTGAACATGAGCCTGATAGAACAGATCAGGCTGAACTCACGCTGACTCCTATGCCTTAGCATTTGTTTTTAATGACCTCATTGTTGTCACAGTTCTGGTTTTGGCTGGGAGTCTTCCCTAATTTTATTTAACTGGCTTTAGTGCAATACAGTATAAAGTGTCAAAGTGTGAGGAGTATCTGGCTAGAAACCAGCTGGTTCACCAACTAAAACACCGGCAGCCACCTCTGGCCAGTGACCATGAGGCCAGCAACAGTCACTTCCTTGGAAGCTGCCTGAGGGTTTTTTTGGTGGTTTGGGGTTTTTTTTGTTTGTTTTTTAGACAAACAAAACAAAGTAAGGTTTAGAGTTTGGGCCAGCAGGAGCACAATCAAAAAATTTAATTTTACATCGTCAGACTCGTGAAGATGGATCCCAGACACCAGTCCAGGCTATTTTATGTGGAGAGCAGGAAGCCGGCCAGCACCAGGGCAGGGAAGTCTGCTCCGTCTGTCAAGCGTGGGGAACGCAAACAGCACGGCTTTAGCGTTTTGCAGCTGATGGTTGGTACCAGCTTCCATCTATGTTAACTTGAGAATCCAACCTGGAGCCCCATCGCTTCTTCCTCCCGTCCGGCAAGCCCGTCCGCGCAGGCACGACAGGGGCGGCCGGTCTAGCGCAGGCTGGGACGCAGCGGGGCAGCGCTTGCAGAGCCCGTCCCCCCGGAGAACGCCCCAGCATCACTGAGTTGTGCTCAGCTCGGAGTGAAGACATGGAAGTCTTTAAACAGCAACCTGCTCAGAAGGCGCTCTTCCTCCCCAGAACGACATTAAAACATTACAGAAATATAATGGCCCTGCATAAAAGGATTATAAGTACCAGATTGAGTGTTACACTAGGATTGATTTTAAAATGATGATTCTAACAAACAAGCACCAGAGCAGTAATTGCAATCTCTGCATCAAAGGAGATTAAGTATCGCACTCAAAATACACGTTGGCCGCACGGTGCGTACAGGACAACCTCTCGTGTTTGGCCAGCGGTCCTTTGCGTTCCCTGTGCCAGTCTTTACACTCAGATGAAAACTTGCTGTACTGAGCTAAAGCAAGAAGCTTTCCATAAGAAAGCTGAAATGCTGTAGGAGCCAGCAATTCCCACAGCCCTGCCTTCTTCCCAGGGGAGCGGGAAAGGGAAGAGGTGGCTGTCCCTGGCTGCTCCCCCCGCAGACCTCCTGCCCCGGCCACGCGGGCACAGCCGAGGGCCGTCACTGAAACCGCTGTGACCAAGCACAGGGCTCTCCTCAATTCCAACTGCGTCACAAAACCATCTAAAACTCCACCATTGGGAAAAAAAATCCCCCAAACCCAAACAAACCACCGAACACGGATCCCATGGAGTGCAAGTTTACTCGGAGCAGCAGCCCGAGGCATGGCAGAGAGCAGCAAGCTCTCTGCATCACGCAGCATCGCTAAAGCAAGCATGTCCAGGGCACTGGAAAATCATCGCCCTGACAAGACAGCTCTGTGCCGTGGAAATGAGACGCGGCTGGCTTTGGACTCGGTGCAGAAATAGATAAAGTCAGGATACATCCAGAGCGACCTACATTTTCTGAGCGACGCACGGGAGGGAGGCTGGGGCCGGCTGGTGCGCCCCGTTCCCATGGCTACACCGAAGGATGGCAATGGAGAAGCAGGAGGGACCGCTAAGCGCGGACCCGCTCCTTTGCCCCCCCAGTGCCCCCGCTCTGCCCGGGCGGGCGCACAGACGCAGCACGCCAGCAGCACAACGCATCCCAGCGCCACGTTCCGGATTTGCCCAGAAAAAGCTGGGAAAAGGGGAACCAGCGCTGAACTGCCAAAAAGACTGGGATAACACAGGGATCGGGGCAGAGCCTGCAGCTGGGCAGTCGAAGGCTGAGCAGCGACGGGGCAGGGATGAGCGATAGCACCCGTTCTACTGGGCTTTTCCAGGGAAACCGCAGTGGCCCCCAAACCCTCCTTCCTCTGCTGTCAGCAAAACCCTTACAAATTACTTGGTGAAGCCATTTGCCCCCCAGCTCATGGAGGCCGCAGGTGCCTATCGCCCCATGCCCGTCCGTCCGGCAGCTCCCCTTCCAGGAGCCGAAGAGCTTCCCAGGGTCTCTCGCTCTGGGCGAGTCGCTGCTGCGAGAGAGGGCTTAAACGAATTTCTGGGAGTATTCTTGTGGGTGCTAGGAAGTCCAGCTCGGGTCCAGCGCTCACCTTCCAAAACATCTCAAAGCTCAACGTTCCCAGGGAAACTTGGAAGCCTTGAGCTTGCCAAAGTCAATAGCGATGTTACTCAACAGATTCTCGCAGCCATTTAGCCAAAATAAAATCGTAACACAAAGCACTCCCAACGTGTAATACAATCTAATTGACATCGTGAGTCATTGTGCATAGCTAACGGTGGCTGCTCATTTAGGCTGACTAAAAATTATTAAATGCTTTTAAACAGTCATTAGAAGCAGGTATTTTCTTGGCTCCTTAAGAATGTCTCTACCCCTCAAGAAGCATCACCCTGGCAGTTCTTAAATGAAGATGACATTAAAACAGAATTGTCTTCGCCTACCTAACAGAAGTTGAAAAATGGATCTGGAGGGACAGTCCTTCCCCCTGTGGCAGTGCCACAGCTGTCGAGCACGACGTCCTCTAGCACCAGCTAAGGACTGACAGACCAGGGTCGTTTCAATGAATGTATCCCAAGTATCTTTAATTTGGCCTTACCCACGCACACCACTTACACTGACTTGTTTGGGGCAGAGATCACAAAGCTCTAAGCCCAAAATTGCACGGATTCTGATTTTAGTAAAGTCTCTAAAATAGCATCTATTACAGTATTCTCGGCACACTTCTGAACTTTGAGGCAAATGCTTCGCCCACCCAACACCCTCCAGAATTCCCAAGAGGATCCATGACACCTGGCAGCTCAAAAATGAGAAGTTATGATCTTTTCTTTAATACTCACGAAGAAAAACTCACTTTAGCAACTTAACTACTCAGGGGAATTCTGGAGACCCAAGCTACTTTTTTTTTTTTTTTTTAAATTAATCCAGTTGATAACATTTTTACATGGAAAACTCCCTCTGATTTCCTTCTCCTACAGCTACGTCACAAGGGTGCCACAAGGACCTCTGGGGCAAATGTCTGGGGATAAGACTCCATTTATTTTTGAAGGCAATTACACGGATGCCCTCCCTCGACCTGCCAACCCCGCAGCATCCTCGTGCCCGAGGGCAGAGGGCCACAGCTGCCCGCCGGCCTCGGCCGAGCCAGTCTGGCTGCAGCAGAGCGGCTCAGGGGAGTTTACCCACGTGACAGCATGCGCGGGCTGCGCCGGGGCTTCTGGAAGGGGTCTCCGCCAAACCGGAGCGCGTTATACTCAGTGCAGGTACTGAAACGTGCTCTCAGCCGCGACTGAGAGCAGGGCCCCTGCGGGCAGGAGGCGGCACCAGCCTGGGGCGAGCGCACCGAGCCCTGTCTGTACCGACGGCAGAGGAATCCCCAAGCCACAGAACTTACACAAAGGACGTGCAGGACCACAGCTCCGTGCCTCCTGTCCTCGTTCGTGAAGATGTCATTGGGGAACTCATGGAGAGCTGCAAAAAGGGGGAAAAAAAGAAAGCTCAGATGTTTAACCTGCTACTCAAATTCACCGCACGTGCTTAAGTAACATAATGAAAAGTCGCCCAAGCCCTTCTGCGGGCCGGAGTCCTGTGGCTGCCACACCAGAGGCTCTTTGTTTTGGCTCCCTGTCTGTTCAGCTTAACTTGTCCTCTGGCAAGCACAGCCTTTCCCCAAATATTTACTGTGGAATTGGCTTCTGTGGCAACCACGTGTTGTGCCCCCAAATGTGCCCCGGGGAGGGCAAGCAACGCACAAACGTCCAAGGGAGACGGCGTTGTACAGAGCAGGCGATGGGTCGCTCTCAGCATTTCTGACTGAGGGGTTTGTACCCGAAATGTATGGGTGAAAGCCTCCCCTGAGCCCCTGGTGCCACTCCCCATCGGTAGGACGCCGGTAACGTGTACTCATCTCCGGCAGGACCAACCGCTCTCTGGCCGGGGAACGGCTTCCCCTGCATGCCCTTCGCCGCAGCAGGCACCGCGGAGGCCTCGCCGCGAAGCCGCCGCGAAGCCGCTTCCGTCCTTGCCCTGCCCTGGCGCCCCTCTGTGCCCTCACAGCGTCAAGGCACCGGGCTTCCCTGCACAGCAGGCGCTCCGAGGGCAACCCGCCATGTTAGATAGCCAGCCAGGGTAGGGGCGGATCGGGAAATTTCAGATCAAAATGAATCTGTTCTCTACCTCCAGACTTCACTCTGCCTCCTCGGAGACGCCATCAACACGAACAAGATAGCTGATGTATGGTGCTAGTGATGCAAAGAAGGTTCTAAGACATATCAAATATTTTCTTTTTGGGGGGGGGGGGAAGCAAGGGTACATCTCTTTGGAGTTGCAGAGGTTTCCATTGGGAAGGCTTAGCGCTACTGCAAAGCCCCGTGAGCTGTAGCCCTACGTGCAACGGCAAGCTGCAGGCCTCCAATGGTTCAGGAGGGCGACAGACGCCTGCGACGCTGGAAGCGAGTTCTCTGTGACGGTGCCATGGCATGCCCTGCGCCATGGGGCCGGGCGCGAGCTCCCACCGTCCCCATCCGACCCCGCTCTGCCCAGCCAGGGCCACCAGGCAGTCTGCGCACAACGGCCAAGCCTGGGGGCAGGCTTCCAGCCACAGTGAGGCGGCAGCTATTGCCCACGTGCACGCGAGGACGGCAAAGCCGCTATTGCTCTGCACGAAGGACACGCGCCTCCACTCTGCAGCGAGGCCGTGGGACTCAGGCAGACGCCACGGCCCGATCGGCTTCAGAAAGAGCATCTGCTGGTGAGGGTGAACCATGAAGAAACTTCATAGAGAAACATAATTATTTCAAATGATGACATGGTAGAGCAGGGAGAAACCAGCAACCCAAATCAGATGCTGTTTCCCTCGGCAGAGCTGCCCGCTGGCAGGGTAAGCGGGTCCTGCTTCGGACCTCACTGATCGTCTCACGGCCGGGGTCTCCTCAGTGCTCCACGTCCCCTTGCCGAGGCCCGGCTCACGCAAAGGGAAGAAGGCGGCGTTCTGCAAAGTCAGCAGGTGATGTCCCGAAGCGGGTAACCCTGCTCCGCTGCCTTCTGCCCTCCGGAATGCCAAGGTGGCACTTGCCCTCTTGCTTACCCCTCTCCCGAAGCACGCCCAGCCAGCCGCCCCCAGAGCGGGGTGCCGGGCTGCGTGGCCGTTACCTGAGCCATCGGGAGAGAAGGAAGGGGCATTCTGAAACCCGCCATGAGAGGCCACGGGAGCGGAGCCGTCACCTCCTGGTTGCTCAAGCAGTCGTGCTTTTACTCCTTTCCGCAGAGAAAACCACCAGCTCCGCAGTAACAAGCTTACACCGAGGAGGGTTTGCACTTCACCTTGGCTTTATCTCCAGTTTAAGCCCAACACAGTCATGAAGTCTTAGAAATGGCACAAAACAAGCATCTGGGGCAGACGATGGCCCACCAAGCCAGCCACAAAAACAGCTCAGCAGTTCAGTTTGCCCAGCGTGCCCTCGTTAAGTGCAATATATTTTGTTAGATTCGCAGTTCTCTTTCCAAAGTCAGGTGACCCGTGTAACAGCTGAAAGGAGCACGCAATACAGTTAGATAACCCTTGCTGCAAATGCGGGACTGAAGTTGTTTGAAGACAAATGACTTCCATTTACTCGAATGCTTTATTACTCCTCTGGACGTTAATTGGATTATAAAGCACTTAAAGACAGCCTGCCAATTAGGTTGCAGGAATAGCTTTTGGTTATAAACCGAAAAGTGAGTGTGAAGACGCTGCCCTGGCATTCCGAGGGCTTCTCCGTAGCCCCAGGGCTGAGCTGCCCAGTAACAACCAGTACAATGGCTTTCTCCTGATGGCCAGCTCCGCACAGCAGGCCTTGAGTTGGGAAAAAAACCAATCAAGCTGCATTATTCCTGGCTCCCATGTCATTATCATTAATAAAGCTCCGGCAATTGGAACTTAATTAGCAATTCCACAGATGATTAAAGGGAAAAACAACACAGCCCACTCCCACAGCTCCGCGGCCCGCGAAGCAATAACTGAGCGAGAGGCAGCTACGTCTTAATTTTGTTAGCAGTGCAAGCACGGGCTCTGCCAGGCACTGCACCCGAGCAGGAAAACACGAGCGGTCCTTCGACCAAGGGCGCGGGTTAATACTGTTAACTGCATTCCTATGCACTGGTAAGCGTTCGCATGAGCCCTGACAAACCAGCGGGAGCTACTGGAGCAGTTCAGACGGCGCCTTTACAATTCACCTTCTAGCAAAGGTATTGCTTATGACACCAGCAACGCCCCTGAGCGAGCGATAAACACCGCCG